GACCGCGGGCGGACGGACTCGGGCCCGGCCCCGGGGAGCAGCTCCGCAGTCTGAATGGACGTGCTCCAGGCGCCCTCTATGGTCCGAAAGCGGAATGCGGCCTTGACCAGCGCTGATCTCGCTCCTGGGGTGTGGCGCAAATCTGGGGGCGCTGGGCCTTGGGGCTCCGCGGGCACGAGCCTGGATTTGTAGTGGTGGGGACCGCTTTGTGTTCCAGGGCTGCAGCCAGTGGTTCTTTGTGTGTGTTTTGGGGGAGTGCCGGGCCTGCAGGGTAGGCTGCTGGCATTTGGAGCGAGGGAGTGAGCACTGGGCTCTTTGTGGGGTGCTTTTATTGTCCAGTGCCTTCCTTGCTAAATCACAGAGGTGTTTCTCACCTGCCCTCGGCCCTAGCCCTTCGTGGGTCATCAGAGCCTTGGGCTCATCATTCCAGAGGTTCTGCAATGGGGTCCTAGAGCCTACTCTGACTGCTGGGCCCAAATGGATCTTGTGTCCTTAGCCAGACGGTGTCTCTAGAGAGGCTTGACCAGCTGTGTCCTTCGCCTCTGATGAGGAATTGTGTTCCCAGCCACACAGACATGCTGCTCAAGCAACCAATGGGCTGTGAGATGCCTTCTGGGTGACGGTGGAAACAGCAGGTTGGATTCAGGTGGGCCAGAGTTCTCTGTCCCTGGGCAAGCTCAGCTCTTTATTCACCTGAATCAAATTGGATGGTCTGTACTGGCACCTGCTGCTTTGCACACCCCTATTTCCACCCTTTCCTAATTTTTTTTTCAATGCAAGACATTTGGGACCCCCCCCCACCCCCACAGGAACTGCTGCTGAGGTAGCTCGGCCAGCACATGCTCATCCTTGGGAGTCCTGGCTACTGAGCCGCAGTGGCCTAGAGTCCATGAATGGTCTGTGCACCTTCCTGAGAGCTAGGTTTTCCATACAAGGAAACCAGATCGCCAGCCTCGGAATTATTTTTCTCCAGTGAAAAGTTAGAAATGAATTTGTAATGGAGCATTGAAGGCATTTTTGTCCTTTGTGCACTATATGTTTACATCTTTCCAGCCATGGGAGCCATCTAGGTGTGCAGGGTCCCATGGAAGCACCCCACGTGCCTGGTGCTTCAGCTCCTGAAAAATCTGGAGTGGACGTAGAAAATCCACAATATCCTTTGCTTCTGAAAACAAAGCGCTGTTAGTTCTGGAGGAGCTTTCTGCCTGAGGAAAGGGGGCTTCCCTACCTCAGCAGTGGCCAGGACGGTTTCAGAGGTGGCAGCTGCTCTCTGGCCAGCAGGGAGGAGACAGTCCCTGAACAGACTAAGGGGAGATTGTCCACAAGACTAATTTCCAGACATAGGGTTCCCCTCGTCATCAGAAATGGGTGTCCTATTTCTGTTCCAGGTTCCCTTTTCTGGTTATATAGGGCTTTTTCTGGAGGTTGTGTGTGCGGGGGGGGGGGAGGAACAAGACACAGATCTGGTCCGGGGCTCCTGCATTCTGTGTTACAGCCTTGGCAGCCCCCAGCACAAAGGTTGAGCTGGAGTCTCTGAAATCTCCCTGCTGCCACCATCCTGCCCACTGTCCTCCGATCAATTACATTCACCAGCACATTTATCTCGCCTGCAATATGGAGAATTCATATTCATATCTCGGTTTTAGTGGTCTGACACTGATTAATGTAATATGCGCCTCGGCTCCAAGGGGTGCGCCACCGATGAATCATGCCCTATAAAGTTTCAGTCGTCCTTGTAGATGGGACTCTGCCAGGGAGCAAGGAAGCTGGAGTGAGGGAGGGAGGCAGAAAGGAGAGAGAACAGGGTGGGCTGTAGCACCCAGGGGTACCTGGGACAGGCACTGGCCTTTGGCCTTTCAACGTGGAGGGTTCAGGCAGGCCCTGTCCTCTCTGCTTTTGAACTTCTTGCCTGAGAGGGGAATCCTAATTCCACCTCCCCCGCCTCCCCAACCATGATGCCAGTGGGTCATTGGTCGCCTCTTCTCACAGAGGCAGGGTCTAGGGTGGGGTTGGGGGATCCAAATGGAGATGGGGTTTGTGAACTTCGACTTGGGACGACTGGACCACTGAATGCCCTTCTCAAAACGACAGGGCCTTGTTTGTTGGTGGGGACTGCAAGTTGGAGGTGGAAAAAAAGGGAAGGTAGCAGAGCCTAGGGAGGGTCATCTGCAAGGCTGGGGGAGCATTGGCCCCACGGAGGAGCGGAGCTTCGTGGTTTCCTTGCAGAAAGAACTTGCAAGGCCAGAGGAA